CTAGGTTAACAAATAACAAATTAGAGGCCAACATTGGCAATGAAGGGAAACAACCGGTACCCGCCGCTTGTTTTCCTACTTAAATTCCTTGGCTACTTGGTAATTCTATTTACTTGGTCAAATTGAATAAAGAGTTCGAATACCGATTGATTAAATGGCCGACTGATCATCTATCCTGGAAACAGACAACCAGTCGTCCAGGGGCATAGGCGGCATACTTACTATTTGTACCTGTCTTAACGTTCGGCCATACACAACAGTCTGTCTAGTGAGCAAATTTCAAATACTTAGACAAATTTGAACAAAAACAAAAAGTTTGATTAAAATGAGCCGGCCATAAAAGACCAGCAGAATATTCAAAACCCCGGCCCCCTGGCCGGGTAATTACAAAGCAAACGGCACGCAGGCCGTGAAAAGAAAAAATATACTTAAAGCTTAAGAAGGGGGCAGTTCAGTATCAGCAGCAGCCGCCTGGTCAGCACTCTTCTTGCTGGACTCGGCCTTCGCTGCATCATCTTTTGATGCCTTTCCCCCAAGTGGCACAAGCGCCACAACCGGCTCTTCCTCCTCCAACGCAACGTCCATCGCCTCTTCTTCAGCAGCCGCCAGGATCTGTTGATTATATATTTCCGAACACTGGCGGTACGTTCTTTCCCATGAGGCAAAGTCGGCACTGGGGAACAGTCGTTCCCAGGTCATGCGTTGGATTTGGGCGGAGTCTTCCACCATCTCCCGGACGAGCTCTTGTTTCTCTTGCTCGGCCTTGTCCGAGAGCTCTTGGGTAAGACTCTTCTCCTGGTTCACCAGGCGTTCTTTTACGTTAGCCAAAGATTTCTCCATGGCTTCGTAAGAGTGCATTTTCTGACGAAGGGGCTTCAGCTCGGCTTTAAGTTTGGTGACGGTCCCCTCCAGCTCGTCAACCTTCTTTTGGGCCGCCTCTAGCTGAGCCCGAACAGCGGCGGTCGCCTGCGCCTGATAATAAAGAAGATCAATGGTCAGTACTTCATTTTGGGCAATTTGAAACATTGCTTTATCACAGCTGGAGGCGGCCATAGCCTTTGCGGCCTTTACCTCTTTGTCTTTCCGATCAATCGGCTTGCGAAGGCTGTTGACTCGGAGCAGGGCCTAAGTACAAAGAAAAACAGGCGTCAGTTTCCAATCATAAGGGTTAACAGGCGTCCTGGAACTTCAAAAGGGTATACCTCAGCTAGGATCCCCGAAATTCCATCGAGGTCAAGGGTGCCGGCACCCTTGACCGCCTCCCTGTCAGAGGGAGGAACTACTTTAACCATTGACTTGGCTATCTCAACCAAGTCAAGTCCCTGGGGGCCGGCTGCATTAAGCAAAAGGAAAAACAAGTTAGACCTAATCAAGAAGGAAGCAAGAGTGAGTTTCTACAAGCAAGTGTCCATACATCTAGGCGGCCCCGCCTGGGTTTTTGAAGAAGTGGCCGGCTGCTTCTCAGCCGCCACCGTTTTCCTGGAAGACCCAGGAGAGCTTGCAACAGTCGTTCTCCGGGCCTTGGGGTCCGGCTGTTGCGAGGAAGAAGCCCTTGGAGTGCCAGACTGAAAACAAAAAGAGTTAGTATATGCATAATACAACTTAAAGGGGAAGAGTTTTCAAAGCTTACCAAGGGTGCCTCCTTGCTGGGGGAGTCGGCGTACGACTGCTTCATTAGTGAAACCCGCAGCATGGCCGCCGCAGTCTTAGATGCTGTTATTTTACTCATGGCGTCGGCTGAAAGAAATAAACAGCAAAGTTAGTAAAAATCCCAAGTAAACAAGGCGTGAGAAAACAGAGTATTCGTCAGGCCGGCTACCTCTAGAGCACCGACTGCCGAGGCCACAGGCGGCCAAGAAGTACTCATCATAGAGCCACTTGAAGCTCGGGACGCAGTGTAGGGGTACTTGCTCTCGTACCCCTGAAGTAGAGTTCACCCTAGTCTCTACTTTGAAGAGTCCTTTGTCTAGGATCTCTCTTTTAGCCTTTGGGGGAACAGGCGGCATGCTGCGGCCGCCTGAAAGAAGAGGCGGATCTCTGTTCCACTTGTTAAAACGTTTGTTCAGCTCCGTGTCTGAACTCTCGATAATAAGGAAGGTGTTCCGCCAATCCTTCCATTTGTTTGCCTTACCTCTCGTCATGAGGTAACCCCTGTGGCTTGTTAGTTGATACCAGCCGGTACCTCCCGACTTAGGGGTCCGGCTGAGATAGTTCATGTGGGCGAAAGCCTCAAAACTTGGCTCCACCCCGTTCAGTTCGCACCCGGCCACATAGCCGAGTACGTTTACCCAAGAGTTGGGGGCTAACTGCCATAACCCCAGATCATACCCATCTAAAATCCGCTGAACAGCCGGATGTAATGGGAAGCGCAGACCAGCTTTGATGGCCGCCACATAGCAGCCAAAACAGCCGTCACCATAGCTGGTACCAGCCGGCCAGACGACAGTATCTTCTGGATCCGGCACAAACAGTAAATACTCCGGGCCCATTTTGTGGTTAGCAATAAAGCTCGCCACGTTGTCTCGCATGGTTGCGATCCGGCCCCGGGGCACCCTGCAGTAGTAGGGGGTGTTTTCCTCTCTGTAAGAGGCGGACGGCTCTGCCCAATTATCCCCCTTCTCCACTGCATGGGAACTTCTCGCCTCTTGTAGGCGGTTATGTTTTTCTTCTGAGTCAGAAGAACTATGCTCAGAAGAGCTGGAATCGGACTCGTCCCCTGACGAGTCCGAAGAGGACGACTCCTCCCCTCTCCTAGAGGGGCCCGCCTCCTCTCCCTTAGAAGGAGCAGAAGGTAAATTAGACATGTCCACGGTTAGATGAGAAGGGAACACCTTGGTCCCTCTCTCAGAACTGTCAGCTTGACAGTCGCCTCGTTCCACATCTGGCGCCTGGTCAGATGTTTCGCTAAGGAGTACCCTTTGGGAGGAGCCGTCTGAGTTTGATATTCTAGCAGTCTTTTTTGTTCTGGCCATCACGTTCTGCATAGACACAGATTCAGTCGGACTTTGTATAAAGGGCAAAGATGGGTCCAGAAAAGGGCAGGCGGCACTCCTAGTCCTAGATTCAGCCGTCCCCGGTGACCGGCTGATCACTAACTTAGGGCGTGTCGTGTGCTTCCATGGTGCCATTTCAAAAAATAAAAAGAAAATTAAGAGTAAGAGAATTGAGTTACCTGAACGGATGACAGTTGTTGAAGTCCTGAAAGTTCGGGTCAGTCGGCTTGACAGAACAGGCGGTAGGCAGAAAAAGTCCGAAAATGTCAGAGCAAGTTCAGGGGTCCGAATGTTCTCGCAAAAATTCTCAAATGTGAAAATGACCGAAGTCAGCACTTCCTTTTATAGGCAAAATGAGAAGGCGAAGGGTCGCTTCCGAATTCAAATTTGGGCGGGAGAATCTCCCGGCCGTCTGCAAGGTGACACCTGTAACGGGCCGTCGCCTGTCACCGTGCGACGCTTGTCACAGGCGACACGTGACCAGTCGCGTGCCACCTGTGAGGGGCAAATGATTAGGGGATTTTTATCCACCAAGCACCGTTTGACAAGTGGACCAACCAGGTTCCGCCACGCGTCCTCCACGGACCACTTAAGACATGCCACGTGTCCACCCATGCCAAATGGGACAACCGGCCATCAAGGCCCATTTCAGTCTAGAAGCCCGATCGGCCCTAGGTTTACCTTAAACCTAGAGAGTTGCACGCTTCCCAAGGCTATAAATACTCGATTAATCCTCATTAATCAGGGACCGAATACATTACGGAACACACTAATAACCGGCTGATCTCGCTAGCAAAGCAGATTACCTACATTAAATACTCTCACCTAGAGAGACCTTATTACTTTAATTTCTGTATTAATTACTCCTTAATCAGGTACTAACTTGACCGTTGGAGGCGGAGCTCTCAGGAGTCTCCGTTATTTTGCAGGTACAGGCGTCCGGTTCCAGTCTCGGAATTGTAACTCTCCCGCAGGACATCAGAAAACCCCGAAACAGTTACAACTAGTGAAAATTATTCGTAACTGGCTAATGTTAGTTACTAATAATGTACTATTTGTAACTGGCTTAACCTATTGCCAGTTACAAATAGTCTATTTTCCAAGTCAGAAAGCATACTATTCGTAACTAGCGTTACGTTACGCCGGTTACAAATAGGATATTATTTGTAACTAGCATAGCCTAACGCCAGTTACGGTTATTTTAAAAAAAAAAAAAATCTATTAGTAACTAGCATTAGATTACGCCAATTACTAATAAATATATAATTTTTTTATATAAATATTTGATTCGAATACAACAAGCTTGGTAGTATATCCTACCAAACGACCTATCGTCAAATGGGTTAAACCAACAAATCACGTACCCCAAATAATTCCACATAACTTGAATTTACCCGCAACATACAATACAACCAAACACCAAATAATTCCACACAACTTGAATTCATCCACAACAATACAACAAAATAAACTATACTTTCAACAAAACAATTAACTTAATAAAAATTATTATTTTATCATTTAGGAATGTAATAACAATAACGGGAAATCTCGTATAGGCAGGCTCGAAATCCGTTACGTCTCGGCCGCATCGCGATGTAACATGCGAGTTTTATACCATGGCCAAAATACGTGTATTAAGCATTTTAACTAGCAAAGAAGAGGCAAATTCACTAACCTCTTGCAAGTTACCCTTGCAATTGCTATGGAAAGAAACATTTATTTTGATAAAAGCATTTATGTTGAAATCTGGATCCCTACAATCTCAGCAGCACTTCAGCCAAAATCGATGTAGCACACTATATAAAGTAAGATAGTATTTGTTTACGTTAGATATTTGCACCTTAAGCCCAACCTAAGAGTCCTAGAATCGGGAGACATTTATTCAACATACCATGAGTTTTCATGTAGTATATACGATATATTTATCATGGTTGCTTCTTCATAAATCAAATGCAGTTATTTCTAGCTTTGTGCACCTATTTGAACAATGTCATTTGTCTGCAGGGATTTGTATCAATAGCAGAGGTGAATACCAAAGGTATAGTCCGTTGTTGTCCTATCAAATATACGTTCAACACTCATGGTTGCTCATCTAAATGAGAATCTCCATGATATTGGGGCTTATTCGGTTGGACTCAGCCAAGAAGTCAACCTCAGCAATTTTGATAGAGTTTCAAGGTTATTGAGGAGGTTCTCCAGCATTAGCAAATGAGAATGGCCAAGAAAATCTGCAACTAGAGCCAATTGGTGAGTTTTAGAGACAAATATTTATTTATGTCATGCTTCAAGTTGTGACTCATGCCTCATGCCTGCTCAACCTCTCCCCCCCCCCCCCAAATGTGTAGATAAATATATTTTTCTGGCATTATATTGTTTTTGGAATGCAGTTTCTAGTGACTATATGTATCCTGTGTCGTGTATTCGATACATCTCATCTTTTAGAGAAATAAAAAAAACAATTAAAATCTCACCCGAGTGGTGTTGCATGAAGGGATTCCTCTACCTTTAGGAGTGGGCTTGTTACAAAGACTTATTATAAAGTATAGTATTTCGAGCACAAGGGAGGTTGTTACAGTGCACAAGGTGATTCAAAGGGATTCCTCTACCTTTAGGAGATCTTTGTTAGAGATTTGTTTACAAAACTGGTGGGATAGTTATTGTTACATAGGTGATGCTTGATCATGATTAGTCTCTCCGACTTGATTACCTTTGATGAATGTCTAAGTAAAGCATTATGTGATTTTTGGGCCCTTTTGTTACATGAAATCGGTTTACTAGGCGAGTACTTTAAATAAAGATAGTTCTGGGATTTCTATTGTTGGGGTTAATGGTAAAAAGTATTATTGCCAAACTGGAGTGTAATAGAAATTATAATTTCATTTAGCTTTGTTTGTGCTGTTGATATTGATTCATTTTAGAGACAATCACAGAGGAGAGGTTTAAAGTTCTCTCTTTTGTATGAAAATTAATCTATCAATCAGTCAAATAAACATATAGTTTTAGATTCAGAGTCTTTTACTTATGTATTCTAATTTGGGTGAATGGCGAGTCGCTGAAGGAATAGTGTGGTCTTATGTGGCAAAAAAAGTTAGGATTTGGGAATGTTGCCATGCATTAATGCCTTTTGGATGGAAGACAAAACTTGTGTAACTAATTTATCCAGTAATTCCAGGAAGTTCTTATATGTTGTCTGTTTAGTGTCAAAACTGCATTTCTTGTATGAAAATTTTATGTCTAGGGTAGCGGTTTGGTGTGTGTGTGGGGTCTATACCTTAGCATTATTGTCTGATTCTTTGGCTTTCGTGTATGAAAAGTTTATGTCTAGGGTAGTGACTGTAAAGAAATGACATAATGTTTCACTTGATGTGAATTGTTTGGTAGCTAACAATTATGTTATTATTTTGTTATAGGATAAGGATTACAAGCAAAGGTGCAGTGAAGGATGAAGCTGTTGAAATATCTGAGGAGAACTGACTGGGAGTCCTGTTGCTTTGTTCTTTCAAAACTTGGCCTTTGTGACAACCCTGATTACATGAATTATGATTTTATACAGATTACTAAGTTTTCATTGCAGTAATGAATGTTTTGCCTTTAATTTTCTTGCTCCTATATTCAGTTCAAGAAGTCCTTTGTTGATTTAAAATCAAAGGTGCTAATGGTAGCTGAGATTAGAAATATTAATGTATCCTTCCATTTTGTCTTAATTTTGTATACCACAAGGTGATTCAAAGTTCCCATGTAATAAAGCTTAGTGTAGCAATCAGGCCGACAAATGTTTGATTTTTTGGGGGAGAAATGCCCTTTTGTTAACATAGCATTTGCTTTGGCTACTTTATCTTACATTGTTAAGGAAAGAGGATGTAATACAGAGTTATTTTCCACTAGAATGGTACTTCATCTTACATGTCTCTTCCATTGTGGAGAATAGCTTATCTCAATTTTTCAAAGGTTGATGATAAGTTGATAACGACACAGACCGTATTATCAGAGGGGTAGGCAATAGGTTTCTTGGCTACTAGTGGAGATTTTTGTAGATAAAATAGTCAATTGATACTTCAATTAGGCATAGCCAAGCACAAAAACTATGCAAATAAGTCGATTTTCTATTTTATTAATTGATGCCCCAATTTGTTTTTTGCATTACAATCTTCCATCACATGAATTGGTATTGATGTCCAATTGTTTTAGGCATTTACATTGAAATATGTTGTATGTATGGGCAGCCTATGCAACTTCTCTTTGTAAAATATTTCCAATCTCAAATCTCAATGTCTATGTAAAATGTAAATCAAATGCGTACAAGCTAATGTACTGACCATGATTTTCAGATGTGATTTGCATGTACGTAGATATGAGTGATTTCATTCTTTTGAAATAAAAAAAAAAAACATTCTGTTGCTATAGTTAATTGGGAATTCGAATTAAAATGATAATATTTTACATAGTTAACTCCTTGGAGCTTCATTTTTAAGAAAAGTTTAATTCCTACAAATCGGAAAATATTTGGGGTTGATGGTTGAGCAAACATTACTCGATCAGTTGATTTTTTAAATTATAATTGTATATATGCTAATCAACTTATTAAAAAAATTCATAAACAATACATTAAAAACGTTTTTCGCTAATATCTTTTGTAAAATTAGGGGGGTGCGCGCGTGGCGCATACAATAACAACTAGTATTGTCAAAAAGTTCATTCTGTAAATAAAAATAGACATGTAGTTTTGAAATCCCCAAAAAGAAAAGTAGGTATGTAGATAAGGGATGGAGGAAGTAGTTATATTGAATGACATTTATATACTTTGTATATTACAAGAAACTGATTGAGTTACATAGGCGAAATTGTCTATTAAAATTTTCAAGATCTATTATGAAACAGATCTAAACCGATCAAGTCCTAATTTAATCGGTCCAGTTTTCAATTCAATTCTTAAAATATACAAGTAGATTTTCGATCTATGATTCGGTTCGATCTTGGATCGGTGAACAACCCGTGTCATAAATTTTTCCCCTAACCCAGATCTATAGTAGTAGTAGTACGTATTTTTAATTTCCCCTTTCGAAGTTTTTTTCACTTCACTGTTCACACCCCTCCCTCCCTCTCTCTCCCCTCCATTGAAGCGTTCGCTGAATTCTACATTGAATCTTACTCTGAATTCTCCATTGAAGCGGCTTATGAGCTTTTTCTCCTCTATTAAAGCAGCTTCAGAGGTATTATTGTTTTTCAATCAATCGAATATCAATTTTACAATTTTAATCATTAATTTAATTGTCAACATAGTAAAATTAGGGTTTTACGGTGGATTATTCAATTATTGATTATAATTACTGAAGTTATGATAGATTGTATCGAACTATTTTTCTGCTAGAATTTTGTTATTTAGAATTTAACTTAATTTCGAGCCTAATTTGATAATTGAGTCAACTTTGGTTGTTAATTTGTTGCAGGCTTTGGTTTATATAACCCTTTAATGTCAGAACGAAACCATGAAAATGGACCTTTTCTTGCTCAGGAACAGGCATGTTTGAATGTTAGTATTTTTTCTCACCATCTTTTTCGAATTGACTTTACAACTATTGATTATTGAACAATGTTTTTGGTTATTTGAATTTGATTATGAGACATTATTTATGTTCGTGTTCATTTCAGCATTCGACGTGTTTTTAAGTTTAAAATCTTGGCTCCGGCACTTGGTTTTAGTCCACTATGAGTACTTTGTTATTGAGCAAAGGTTGAGAATGACTATGCTTTATATGAGACAATCTTCATCCTAATTCTTGTTGTATAATCAACTTAAACTCAAATCGGTCTTAAGAGTAGACCATCTTCTTTCTTAGTTGCTTTTGCTAGGATTTGTGAATTTTGGAGCCTGGAAATAAGCATTAGTTCAAGTTAAGTAGCTTGACTACTTTGTCTTACTAAATTGCTCCACCATGTGATCGCTATGAGTTGGTGGCTATAAATAAGGTTTTTCTGTAGAGTTTGCTTCTAGGAGGGATGCCGGGATATGTTTCCAAACCATGTAATAGACCATATAATTTTAAGTTTATTGGCGAGGCTACCTCGAGCAAGCAATAAACCAATGACACTTTGTTTCTGAATTGTTTATTGGCAATTTTTTGTCATATGTTTTCGTACATTTATTATTATATACAAAGAATACGACCTTAGTTCCCAATGCTTTCTGATGCAGTGAGAATTCTTTTCTTTTCACTTAATTCTTTCACTTGAAATTCTTGTTGGTAAGCTCCCTCACTGATTTACGCCATTTAAGGGGCTCTCTACGTTATAACAAGTAACAACCCCGTTACCACTCCCAAAAATATCTATATTTGTGAGAATTGAGCTGAGAAACTTCATATTGCTATAGGGATTATCTGATTGAGGTATTCAAAGGTATAGGTGGCAACCTTTTGACTAATATTACATTTTATTCGAATGGATGTTACAGCGTTCTTGGCTTCTTGCTACCATTGGGGTGAAATTTCCTGTAATTTTCTGGACCCCTAAAACTGTCAATAGTGTTTAAAATAGGCTTTGCTAAGATTCGATTGATTCTTCTCTTAACCTTTCCCGTTTTTGTGAATACTTTTGTTTTAATGGTGATTAGTGGGAATGACCTAGGTATTTCATCTGCCTGAAGCCAGTGACTTGGTTCTCTAGCCAGTGAAGATGTAAATTTAATCATGAATGTCAGAATGTAAACGATGGATTTACAAACTAGTGAAACTACAATGAATATACCTACATGGCTACATTACCAAATGATCATTATGGTTTCTACTTGCAGACAATTTTTTTTATATACTTAGAGATTCTTCTATTTATGATTAATACTAAATCTGGAGATAAATCAATGGTTAGAGAAATATGTTGAACCATATTGTTCATTAAACATATCTTCTATGTGAAAATGAAACATATCTTCCATAGTTCCATGCATGTGGATTGATATGGAATATATGGACACAATTCCATTTCTTTCCGCCTTTACTATATATTTTTGCATTTACAATCTTGACATAAATTTTGTCCCAAGTCACTCACAACCATCTTCACCATTTTCACGTCCCAACCATTGAAATCACCATCACCATTTGCACACCGCTCCTCACAAATTCCTAAATATCCACCTTAAATCATTCCCCATCATTATCGACGCAAGGAGCATCACCACCACTTCCCCATCTCTAAACCTCTCCCATGGAACATATTATACACATTACTGCCATTTCTATGCCTTGCTACCTAAGAAAGTATATGTCAATCATGTTTCCTAACTTTAGACTGCCTCTGCTCTGCCCCTCCCCAACCTTGTACAGCTATACATATTCTGAAAGATAGCCTTAACCCACAACTGTGAATTGACCATGCTTTCTTTCAAGATCCACCACCACAACTGATGACATTATCTTCCAATTCTAATTTTACAGCTTTGTTAGGTACTTGGGCTTCTCTTTGATTTCTTAAGTAGTGCCTTGAGTCCTTGACCACCCCCTTTTATGCATTATGTCCTATAATTTTATTTTTCCTTTCCTTTGGGTAAAACTGCAAAAGGTTGTAAGCCAGGAGCATCACTGAATTTCTGGGTTGAGTGGCTTTAATGGAGTTGGACGACAAATAATGATATTTGCTGAGGTTAGTCGGTTAGATCGTGCTGACATAACTCAAAAGGATAGTGTAATGCTTTGTAATGCTTTTGTTTACTGAAGAATCAGTTTGTCCCTATGAACACTGAATCACATATGCTACTAAATTGGGCCTTTTCCCTTTTTTGGTTGGTATAGTAACTTGCTGTTTTGTCTTTGGATGTCTCTTGTTCTGTTTATGCCAAAAAAATCTGTTACTGATTTGCTCTTTTCCCCTTGAGCTCTATTCTTATTCTTTGTCATATTTACTCCTGCTATTTTATTTTATTTTATTTTGTCAGTCTGCAGAAAGGATTGGTATTGGGAATGTATTCAACAAGCTGACAAAGCAATTGGGCAATCCTGTCGAGTTTGAACTTCCAGACCGGTTAAATAAATATCAGCCTGCTCCATATGTTTTTATAAGACGCAGTATCCATCAAAATTAATAATTTCTTTCATGCATACTTGGGAAATTTATGGAATGGCATGTGATGTTATTTTGCTTCTAGAAGTAATATTTACTGTAGCTATCTTTTTTCTCAAATTCTTATAATTTTCTTAGCATTAATCTGCAAAAGATCAGTTGTAGACTTGTAGTTAGCTGGGTGTAGTTGTCTCAAGTTGAAGGTGGAGTACAGATCATTTGTGATAATTCTACTCCTGTTCTTCTGTGTCATATTTTTCTCACATTATATAGATCAACTTCTTTTTGCTGAGCATTCCTTTCTCCACTTTCTTTTGTTAATGTTAACAAACCTAGATATATATGTGACTAAGAAACCAAAGAGGCGCCATGAGGATGATGGTATATTTTGCTCTTGCGGTTCATCTACAGGATCTAATGCTTCCTGTGGTAGAGATTGCCACTGTGGGTAAGTACTTCTATCATGTATTTGTTTGTTTCTGATGAACATTAGTGAATAGATGTACATGTTTTTTAAACCTGGATATTTTATGTGCTCCTTTGTATTTCGAAAGAATGTAGAACGGTGTATTGGGCTATTTATGTCTGATGAGGATATTACATACATTTCTGTGTGCTTTCTGATGGCTCAATCCAGTTGTTGTGGATTCACCTGATAGACCTCCTACCATAATGAACAATTGGGATATTTATGTCTAATGAGGATAAACATTACGTGCATTTCTGTGTCTGATGACATAGTCCAGTTGCTGTATTGCTGTGGGCTCACCTCATAGACCTCCTACCATCATGAATGAACACTAAAAAATTAGATTGATATCATGATTGGTGTTCCTCTAGTAGTAGTAGAGTGTTAATTTGCAATGCACTACTATCTAAGCTTAACTTCAATGAATTGGGTTTACAGTTAAGGCCATGAGGAATTTGGGTTTACATGAACATATAGCACTTGATAGAAGGCAATGGAGGAAAAGGATCATGGTTGACGACCTGTAATAGACTAGATAATCTGATTTTTTTAAATTGATTGAATGAGAAGAAATAATAAAGATGGAAGCTTGAAACTTGATTGACAATAGCGCAAAGGGTTACAAATGATAGGTTTAATAGCTTTAGGCTATTACTCTCAAAACAGCTTGAAGCTATAACTCTCTAACACTCTCTAAGATTTCTCCAAAACAAATTTCTGCATATTTTCCTTCTACTCTCTACCTATTTATACTACTTAGCTAAGCAAGTACAACTTTAATTGCTACATTTACTAATTCTTGTCTTCATCCCTAAGAGACTACATGACAGCTAATTAGCCAACACAACAACTACTGCAGCTTTAAGGCAGTGCTTCCCCTTGTGGTAGTGTGTTAGCCTACCTGCCTTCTGCTGCAAGTGTGAAGAACAGGTGGTGTGTTGGCCTGATTCGTTACACGACCATAGGAGATACATTTTTGGTTCGTGTAGCCGATCCCATCCTTGAGATTAAGGCTTTGATATTGTTGTTTTGTAGACATCTGTGCCTCTTTGGATATAAGTAAACAACTTCAAATGCCATCTTATTGGTTTGAGATGAATAATTGCAACTTGAATTTCTCTTACTAGTACTATGTACTCATTCCTTGCATGTGGTTTGGGTTGGGGTATCTCCTTGGCTCAATGCACGTAAGTGTTTTAGATGATTTTAAATATTGGTTGGGACAAAAGTTTGACAATTGGGAAGTGATGATGGCTACACGACACAGGACAAACACCCACTTTTTTTTTTTGTAATAATATCTGATTATTGTCCAGTTGCATTCCGTCGAGCTACTGGGGTAGATTTATCTGCGTATATCCCGCTTGCTTACCTACAATTTATTTCTGGACATATTTTTGCTGCTGAAAATGGTTGATTTTAAATTGATGTGCTGAATTTATTCTTTTATTTTTAGGCACTTGAATGTTTCAAGATCGATAAAGAATCTGTGTTTTTGGTTTAAATACCTGCAGTTCGGCATTGCTTCTGCTTAGAGCTTGTATATTTTACTTTACATTGAGAAGAGTTTAAAAATTTTCTGCCACCACTAGTCCAATATGAAGAAACAAGTCTCGTTCCTTCTTTTCGGAGATCTATAAAAGAGGCTTGTTTTTTTAAGGATGTTAGCTCGTTTTTGAGATACTATCAGGCTTTTCAGCTGTCATAACAGTGTGATAGAATGCAGTTTGAAAATATATAGCTTTTTTGCAACTTGTAGCATTCAGATGATTTCTTCAAACAAAAAAAAAAAAAAAAGAAAAAAGAAAAAAGAGTAGCATTCAGATGGTTTATTAATTTAATTTTAAGGGAGCATTCTGTCGTATCTAATTATATTATCTCAAGGGTAAAATGTGGAAATGGAATCTATCCTGGGAATTAGGTATTCTTTCTTGTGAGGATTTTGACCGAATCTAACCTGTTACAAAACACTAACTAATTGTACTTCACAGAATGACCCTGATCATTTAATTTGTGTCTTTTTCTGCTTGAGGATTGTTATATTGGATGTCTCTTATGAAAGGAGATATCTGTGTTGATGGGGAGAGGATAACTATAATTTATGTGCTCCACAATATTTGCAATAGCATCCTGATCTATTTTCGGTTAAGAGTTTGTTTGGGTGGAGTGGTGGACATGATTGCTCTGTTATTGACTAAAAGTTCATTTGTTGGCAATGGATGTTTGTGAAATAATCAAATATTTCTTTTCTGCAGGATGTTACTCTCCACCTGCTCCTCAAACTGTAAATGTGGAGATGATTGTGTTAATAAACCATTTCAACAGCGTCCTGTGAAAAAGTTGAAGCTAGTGCAGGTTTATATCTTTTCATGGTTATTCCAGAACTTTTTATCTTTAATTTAAATTTTTAAATTTGTCAATTTTAGGAAAATTTTTGTGAGAAATCACCTTTTAAATACTTATTGGGAGGTAGCACCTTATATAAGACACAAAAATTCTAAAATGGCACCTTGTATACAGTTATCGGCCAGAAAAGTTAAATTTCGGTAATGACTTTCTTTTTCTTAATTTTCACATGAATGATTCTTTTTTATTTATTCCCCCCCCCTCCCCCCCAATTTCACCTTCTCCCCAACCCTTTTTATTCACTACACCTTCAATATCCTCCATATTCTCCTTCTTTCTTGCTTCACACTCTCACCTGAGTAATCGAGTATGAAAGCTGCAAAACAAGTACTTTTAAGGGAGAAAATTTATCATTGTGAACTTTGGTTGTCATTAAAATTAGTTGAAACTTGAGTATCTAGAAAATATTAAAAAAAAATTAATTAAATGATTAGTTTTTATAATCAACTAAATTACTTGTCCACTTAAGCCGATGTTACACATCTAAAAGGAATCTAATATATGAATTAATTAAATAAGGGGGTGGGAGGCTCAAAAAGTACAATTAAGATGGGATAAACAAAATGAATTTCCGAATATATTCAGCAAGATGTTATCGCCTAATAGTGAGGAAAGAGGACCAAGATGATATCTCAGGGAGTTGCAAAAGAAAAATATGAGAAAACAGAGTTGTAAGGTAGAAGAACAGAAGGGGGGGGGGGGGGAAAAGTAGAAATTGAGAGAAAAAAATTCTTTGCCGGAATTTTGACTAGCAGCCATAGGTGTTTTTTTGATGACTTTGCCATATAAGGTGCTTTTGACCAAAAAAAAAAAAAAAAAAAACAATAAATTATGTAAGGTGCTATCTCTCAACCTGGTAATGAAAAATACATTTTCTATCAAATTATTCTCAATTTTATTACATTAGAGCATACCCGTGCTAATGCACGGGATATATTATTCGCGAAAGAAAACAACACAAAGAGAAATTTTACTCCGTAGTAGTTATTGGAGTCCCTTGAAAAAAAGAAACAGAAAAAGAAATTAGTGGGATGGGTAGTTATTGGTTTTTTTAAATAAATTATAAAAAAAAAAAAAAAGTGAAATGCATAGAATTTTTTTTTTTTTTTTTTGACAGGAAAAAAAATGCATAGAATTTGAGTATTGGGGATTTGGAAGATTGTGGTGAAGTGTTGCAAAATTAACTCTACAATTATATAATAAATAGATTTTTATATATTCTGTGACAAGATCAATAAGTAGATGCTGAGTATCATCCGGACCTAGTAATTCTCTAAAATGACTAGAAGTCTCTGGAGTCTTTTTTTATTTTTTTTTTATTTTTTTATTATATATATATATATATATATATATATATATATATATATGGGGAGACATTATAGGGTGGGATTAATAGTGACAATAACATCATCTTTGTGGTATCCTTCAATATGCAGAGGCAGCTTTGGCCTTGTTTTCTTTTATGTGTTTGACTTTCCTGTTTCTAAGTGAATTAAAGGATGCAGACATCATCTAATCTTTATCTTGGCCATTGAATTTTACATCCTTGTACTTTTGCTTACTTATTCTGGAGGATGCTTGCAGTTGTTTTTTTTTTTAAGTTGGATCTATTGCATTTTATCGATAATATTTTTTCTGATCTCTCAAGGTGCCAATTTAAGATTATGTGTTGCTTGTAGACTGAGAAATGTGGAGCAGGCATTGTGGCTGTTGAAGATATTAGGCAAGGGGAATTTGTTATTGAATATGTTGGAGAAGGTGCTTACTTGTGCTCTTACTGTTATGCTTCCATGTTGCCACTTTTTCCAATCATTGAATGATCTTTGTCACTGGTGCAGTAATTGACGATAAATTGTGTGAAGAAAGGTTGTGGAGTATGAAAAAAACCGGGGAAACAAATTTTTATCTTTGTGAGATTAACCGGGACATGGTAATCGATGCCACAATGAAGGGGAACAAATCAAGATACATTAATCATAGTTGCTGTCCCAACACAGAGATGCAGAAATGGTTTTTATATAGATCCTTGAACTAATTTGTTAAAGCATTGATCATGATCGAAACTGACTTAGACCTGTTTTATTAGGAGTATAGACGGAGAAACAAGAATTGGTATATTTGCTACGCGTGACATTAAAAAGGGCGAGCATTTGACATATGATTATCAGTAAGTACTGAAAGACTATCTCATAGTGCATTTGCTATTGGCTTGCTTTTGTTTTGGACAATGCTAAGGGGTTATAATGCCTGCAGTTTGCAGATTTACAAGACATAATTTCTTTTCTATACAAACCAAGCTAATGAATTTGGCAGGTTTGTTCAATTTGGTGCAGATCAAGATTGCCATTGTGGTGCTGATAGCTGTAGACGTAAACTTGGTGTCAAACCTAACAAGAAGATGCCTTCATCTGATGCCGCATTAAAACTAGTTGCACGCCAGGTAGCGGCATCATCTCCCAAAGTGAAAGCAATATTGTTGGGAAAAAATGTACGTTGTGATGGTCTATTTCCTTATCAAGTGATTTTGATATGAATATGGCTTTGGTTTCTTGAAATTTAATATTGGTGAATTTTAGCTAGAGCACTAGACCAAAATTTGTGATGTTTTTCACTGATAAATCTAATATTGAGAGTGAGTTCTTGAGAAATCCATGTCTAATCTGTTGGGTGAGGTTCAACTTAAAGAAGGCTTTATGTTCTCCAATTTGCTATACCTATATGCATTCGAACCATTGTCTATGATATTCCCTGTCTTGCAATGGCAGAGATTTGGGGGCTCTATGTATGCTTCAGTCATTTAAGTTTTTACCAAAAAAATAGCTTCCCCATTATGCCTCTTGTTGCTGATACTGATGCATTGATATTGTATAGGAGTTTGTAACTGCATATAAGATTAATGTTGACTCCAAAGGTAGGTGGTCTCACTTCTCAAACAAGTGAACCGCTGAAGTCCTTTTGAACTTACAGAAAGGAAAAGTAAAAAAGAAAATTAACGGATAACTAATAGGAAGCTGGATGTTTGGGTGGTTGATTGAAAATGGATGGTTTATATACTCTTGTGCAATCTGGAATATGTGTGACAAGATCAAATAGAGCTCTGAAACAATTAGAATTTAAGTCTTATGTTTTTTTCTTTGCTAGTTTATTTTTGCAGCTTTATTTTTTGTTTTGTCACACAATTAGCTTTTTACCTGAACTAAGATGCTTCTTTTTCTCCTTTTAAGGTTTATCAGAATGGAAATTGTTACAGAGGTAAAGATCTCTGATCATTTGCTAATATTCCTTTGTTTCCAATTTTATTTTATTTTTGAAAATTTGGATAATAATGATGGTCCATGAGGAACTTGTTTCATGGTTGTGCTGTTCTATCTTGTAACAGATCAAAGACAGTGCTCCTTTAATTGCATTGGTGAGGTTGTCAGGATTCCCCGACCTGACCGTAGTAGGTACTTATTACTTAACTAACCATTTTCCTCCTTTGAAGTGCATGGACCACTTCTCCTTATTGAATGGGAACTTTTAGGGCCTGTAATTATGACTTTTCTTTGAACAAAATTTTGCTTTTTATTCAAAGAGAACTATTCTATGAAGTTTATACCATCCTTAAGGGCCCTAAGGCTATTTGTTGCAATATTTATTACACTCCAAATAGTACTCTGAGAGAACCATTGTGTGATGCATAGTGAATTGCTGACATATTAGTTATTACAGGACATTTGGTATCATAAAGCGGTTTGATAACACTACAAAGAAGCACTTGGTGAGAATTTATTCATGTCTTTTGTTGTTTGCTCACTTGCTGAGTGTACTGCCCAGTGAAAAACTCTGACAAACCACTATTGTATTGCAGATCATGTTTGCAGATGGCAGTGCTGAATTCATTGATATGTCTAAAGTAGATTGGGAGTTTTGTAATTTCTTATTGTAGTTCAGGGTGAGTACAAGTTTAATTCAGATTTTTGTTTTCTAATCTCAGTTGTGCCTTACCTTGGGTACTATATGATGGCTACTTTGTTTTTTCTTATTGTGTTTCATTAATGTTTTTCATTTTTTTCGAGCAATCACCTGTAATTAGTAAGAAAGAACTGAAGATTACAATTTTTAAATATTCATTTTCTTGCTAAAATGACATTTGTTACTGTCCCTTGTGTCCGAAGATGTAAAGCCATGGCTCTGAAGATCTTTCATTTACACCTTTAATGACTTACCTTTGACATTTGCTGTCAACTAGCTTGTGATCGACAACCTGATCAAAATTCAGTCCTCATGCATGCAGAACAACCAGAATTATACCAAATACTACTTGTATTAATTAAAAGAACAAGCTTTTGGAACTTCCTTGTTTGCTTCATTTAGAGAACAAGTAGAGTTCACTGACCATCTGGTTCTTTAGTAAACTGAATCTGGACCAGATACTTGTCCTGTATTCTGAGCACTGGCACCAGCATCTTGTGAGCAATTAAGTTCCGGAAAGTTATTAAAAAAAAATAAATAATAAATAAAAAAATATGGAAGTTGAAAATTTTATTTCAAGCTTTTAATTTTTTTTTGGGATTTGTATTTGGAAAATCTGAAACAATTAGAATTTAGAAGGCTTAGTAATAACCCTTTTGACTTGTTTCATCCCTGATACTTTAGTAATACTAGTATACAATAAGGGTTTTAATGCTTAAGATATACAAATTTTCTGGAGGCTCTCATAAGTGATGAGTTCTAAACTATATATAGTATTTTGCGGAGTGTCTGGGTTTTAGGCAGGAAATGTCTCTGCTATCTGTGTAACTGATCTGATTGCAAAACTGTGTTGAAAGACTTGAAACTTTGCTTGATCTGATTGCTTAATATTTTGCTTGATGTGTTAAGGTGTGCACTCAGTATATCTGTTCTTGTAGGATCTCTCTTGAATTTGAAAATTTTCATTACATGTTTAAATGTAGGTTTTCAATGAGGAGATAAATCCATGTAGAGTAATATGATTGTTTTTCTACATGTTTGACCTCAATCATCCAATTATTACATAAAAATTCCCATCATCTGTAATCTTTTTTCATTCTGATTTTTGTTACATGTTTTGGCGTCAATTCATAAAATCGATTGAGCTTTTTGTGGGAGTGTAGAAGAATTGAACTTGAGGTGGTTAGGAAGTGAACCAAGGCTATGGTTATACATTATGAAATATAGGAGTATCTAAGATGATATGCTGAATGCCTTTGAGCAAATTGAAAATGACTTACTTGAATGTGGTAAATGTGTTGTTGGTAAAAAAAAAATTGATTGATTGCAGGAAAAGAATTAGGTAACAATAATCTAATTAGTCTATTTACCATTCAGTTTTCTTTGGCAAATACGAGTAGTACGAAGTACTCAAGTAGGTTGGCAAATTTATAACTGTAGCTGTCATCTTCAGGAAGAAATTTAGGACCTGAATAACCTACAACTTCTGTACGTTCTTTCCTTTTTTTTTTTTTTTTTTTTTTTTTTTTTTTTTTTTTTTTCTATGGCAAATTTCTGTACTATGTTTTCGTTCATGTTTTGTTAGTGATACTGATTATACTTTTGACAATCATTGAGGAGATGTCTAAAATAGTTATGGTTGCTTCTCTCTCTCCCCCTCCCCATTTTCGTTTTAATCCTTTTGAGGTGGATTTGTGGCCATTGGAAAATTCAATTGAACCGTTCTTTCTTGTCTTTCAGAAGACGATCTGCTGTTTAACCGCAACAAAGAATGCTCCAAGATGGAAGAGGATTGAACATAATCAAAATGGCAACATTATTTTTACCAACTCCTGTATCATTATCGACCCATGTATTATTCATTCTTTTGTGTTCTTTGTTGGTAATAAAGAGTATTAACTTGTAAGTTGTAACATATGTACCCTGTTCCTCCTGAATGGATTTGTCTGAAGTTATGATCCTTTATAGTTCTCTGCTGAAGTTCTGAACCTTCATTATATTATACTTCCATAATATATTTTTCAATCATGAATACGTGTTTTTTTTTTCTTTTTCTTTTATTGTTTATATTTATTTTATCATAACTACGGAGTATGAACGGATAGTCATTTTCTAGGCCTTAGTGAGGAAGCCATGTTTCATAATTATTTGTGATTTAAAGTTAATAAATTTATGATTTAAAGTTAGATTATTTCTAATTGATATGTGTTTTATTTTTCAATTCATGTACTTGACCAATATAATAATTTAATTATCTAGCTAAATAAAAATAGAATGGAAAGATCATATTTTCAATGGTTTAACTATAATTAGCAAATTTGCATATACTAGCGATTGTATTGCATATATTGATTTGTAGGTGTTAATACCCAACCGTAGGAATTACTCGACCTACTTTGTTTATTAATTAACTGATTTGCGTTTCTTGGACCGATATAAGCATGGTGGATCAAATATATACCCAAAACATTTATTTAGCCGTAGGAATTACTTGACCTAGTTTGTTTATTAATGAATTGATTTGCGTTTCTTGGACCGATATAAGCATGGTGGATCAAATTTATGCCCTAAACAATCATTTACTAGACTAGATGTACCTATGCGATGCACAATGTTTTATATAATTTTTTGTGCAATCTTTATTTTTTTAGTTGACACATTTTAACTTTAGCATTATTCACGCATTTCTCTTTGATTGTATTTTGTAATTTATATGTAATGAAAAGTATTGTAATGTAGGATCTTATTAGATTCGTCGCAATATATATTAAAAAATATCAACTTTTTATAAGTTTTGCTTCAAATAAAGATATTAATGGTTGAATTTGTGCATTGGTAAATGCGAGTAAAGAAACGTGTTAACTAAAAACAAACGGAGGAAATATAATTTTTGTAATCTCTTAATCTCCTTTCTAATATATATATTTTAGATAATATATCTAATATAAAAGATAAAATTTTATTTTTAGAATTATTTAAACGCTAAAATTTCATTCTTTTTATTTTTATTTTTTGTTTTTTGTGAAGCAACTAAAATTTCATTCGTAGTTATGTTTATGTGGTATTTTTTTATTTTATTTTATTTTTTTGACAAAGGATACAAACAGATTACATATTAATACTAAAGCAAATAAAATTAACCGCAGCTTCTCCTGCTATTTGACGAGCTCGATGAACGCGCTGACGATCTGCCTTGTGTATGCTACAATATTGAAAAGTGGAGCCAAGAAGTTTAATCTTGCGAATGAGCCAAAGGTAAGCAATGTTACCATGACCACCCCTCCGAAGATGGGAAACAAGATTATAGGAATTAATAAAAACTGTGAGGGAATGAAACCCCCGATCAAAAGCCCACTGTAACCCATACATGCATGCTAATGCCTCCGCATGTAAAGCTGAGGTACAAACCCCGAAGTTACTTCCGCCAATGATCTGATCATCCAACGGATCATCATTATCCAGGCACCATCCCATCCCAGCTTGTTGAGAATCTTTGCACCAAGACCCATCTATTTGAAGAGAAAGTAAAGCTGTCCCTTGGGTACCTAGGCTAAGCTGAGCAATGTAAAAACTCGGCGGAGGAGAGGCACCACCATCATCCCCCACAACACAGGGTGTGTTTGCAGAAGCGTCTGCGATGACAAAGACTGTATGTGCGTCCATAACCTCCGTGAATTGTGAAGCAAACAGCCAGGAAGTAGTAGAATCCCTAAAGATTCTGGAATTCCAACATAACCACACACTCCAAAGCGTACCGACGAAGGTACCTAAGCGAGTACTAGAAGGCCCATCCCGACTAATAAAAAGTCGGATATAATCTTGGATCCAATCTGAGAGAGAAAGGTCTCCATTAAATTCTGAGCGAATACTGAGGCTTCCACCCCTCAAAACTGTTCATGCACTAAAGCACATTCTGAAGAGATGCTGTAAATCCTCTAGCTCTGAGCTACAGAGGTCACAGAACACATCTTGAATCGGAACCCCGCGATGATGGAGTTCCACCTTAACTACAAGAGCACGATATAGCAGTTTCCATAAAAATAGCTTCCATTTTGGTTGTAACTGGAGAGACCAAATAACTTTCCAGAAGGAATCAGTACTAGATTGTGTGGAGGCAGGAGAAAGTTGTTGAAGCATTGCATACCCTGTTTTCACCGAGTACCTCCCCAACGGGGTACCCGACCAAAAACGGAAGTCTTCCTGAGTCGTATTCGGTAACTCCATAGCTAAGATTGTTGAAGCATCCGTAGGAACAAACCAATCAACAACTTTATCAGTATCCCACCCCGTTGGCTGAGGGTGGATGAAAAAACTGATAGTATGAGCTGTTGTATTTTGCAAAGAAAGCCCGGGTTCGAACTCAGGAATGCTACCATTAACCCAATTAGCCGAACCAGCTAGAGTAGATCGCCAATTACCAATTTTCCAATTGCACCCCTGTTTTAAAAGAGTATCCGTCTTAAGTAAACCTCGAAGGCCATACGAATGACAACAAAAAAATCTTGGCCGACTGTTAGGGTTGTTGGAAAGAAAGGTCGTATGCGCACCGAAAACTTTAGATACTAGCAATTGTGGGATAGTATAGAGTCTCCAAACCTGTTTCATAAGCAACGCCTTATTTAAGGACGATAAGCAGCGAATGCCCAAGCCACCCAAGCCACGAGGAAGATGCATGGTATCCTTGTGAACCCAATGCATACCTTTAGTATCAGAATGCCCCTAGAAGAAGCGCATGAGTAAGGAATCAATTTTCCCTGTAACAGAGACCGGTAACTCATAGCAAGCAAGAACATGAGAAGTCATAGCTACAAGGATAGAGTTAATAAAAATTAACTTCTGCGATTGAGAAAGCCGGATAGCATTTAAATAATTAATTCTTCCAATTATTTTATCGATGATGAATTGGTAGTGGTCTTTCTTTTTTCCGACGAAATCGATTGGAGCCCCCAGATTATGATCGAACACCTGAAATTGCTTCATTTGGAATATGATTTGAAACTAGCCTGAGTAGAGGTACAAATATTTGGGCTAAACTTTATCAAGGATTTTGACAGATTTAGCTCTTCTCCAGAAATCTTAGTAAATCGTTGAATGATCTGCATAATATTAGTACAGGACGCAGAAGTTGCTCGAAAAAAGTTGATTGCGTTATCCGCAAAGAATAAATGCGAGATAGAAGGACTCGTCCTGGATAACTTGATTCCTTGAAATAACCTCAAGTCCTGTCCAAGATGCAACATTCGCGAGAAAATATCCATGCAAAAAAGGAAGATGTACGGTGAGAGAGGGTCACCTTAGCGAAGACCACACTGCGTTTAAAGGGATCCAACATCGTACCATTGATTAGAGACTTGTAAGAGACCTTGGAGAGACATTGTTGGATCATTTGCAACCAACGAGCTGGAAACCCGTAGGCCTTCAAGACCTGTAAAAGAAAGCTCCAATGAACTCGGTCATAAGCTTTGCTCATATCAATTTTGATCGCGGCTAACCAGTTAGGACCATATTTAGAAATGTTAATTTTTTCCATTAACTCATGACTCAACAAAATGTTATCCGTCATAACTCTGCCTTGAACAAAGGCATGTTGAGAATCTGAGATAAGAAGAGGCAGATACTGATGCAGTCTAGCGACCAAGCATTTCGAAGCGCATTTGTAAATCGTATTACAAAGGCTAATCGGTCGCAAATGTCCTATCTCTGTTGGAGTGCCTATCTTCGGGATCATAACAAGGAGAGATTGATTCCACTCTTTTAGAAGGAATCCTGTCTGAAAGAAACTTTGAATGCCTGAAACCACCGATTCTCCAACCACATCCCAGTGAATTTTGAAAAATTCAACAGTGATTCCATCCGGGCCGGTAGATTTACAGTTTCCCAAGGCAAACATAGCATTTCGTCTGAAGCTGAGAAGGGACGCTCCAAGTTACTGAGCTGAGAGGGAGTAAAACAAGGAATATCTAATTCCCGCAGAATCATGTCAATTTCCGGGTCATACAGAGGCATAGCATCACTCATAAAGGTCTTTTAAGCGATTGCACAATAACTCGTTGAACGTCCGTCTGACCATGTAGGATATATTTTTTGTGATTTTGATTCGTCCAATATTTAATTTTATAAAATCATAAGATTATTCTAATTTTTATGTAATTTAACTAATCAATTTATCTTTTGTTGTTTTATTAACCTACGTGGCACTTGAATTTAAAGTCTGAAATTTATATTGTTTATTTTGCTTATGTGACGATAAAAAAAATTTAATTTTAAAAAATTGCAAATCTCTTTTTTCATTGGCTAAAATATGCTATGTTCTATGTGGTGCTCTAAAATCTCTTGAAAAAATCCCCTTTAAAAAGAATAATTCATGGTTTAAAAAGAATTAATAAAAAACCAAAAATAATTCATTTTGAACTACTTTATTCATTTCGATCCTGGGACCTGTGGGTTATGGTTTTTATTAATTTAAAATGAATTATTTTAAAAATAGTTCGAAATGAATTATTTATTGTTAGGGTGTTACAAAGTGGTATCTGAGAGCTTTGGTTGAGATTTTTATTACCATTAAACCCAAAAACGTATTTTAAAGTGTTTTGTTTCAAATTTGGCCAAGTGCTTATTTAATTAAGTATTTTAAAAGAGGGTTATTTTCACTTATTTTAATTTTTGGAAATCGGAAAATTTAATTTATAATTTTTTTTTAAAAAGGTCCGAATTTTTATTTATTTTTTTATTTTAAAAATCCGAATTTTTTTTTTAATTTGGACATCCAAATTTATTTATTTAGGGCGTCCGAATTTTTTTTTTTAAGTGGCTGAATATTTTGATCTTTTTCGGGTTATTTTTGAAAATTAATTTTAAAAGAGGAGTCAAAAATATTTTTATTTGTTCATTTTGCAGGAAAGCAAGGATTGAGGTAAGTATTATGTGTTAAAAGCTTTTAAAAGCATGTTGGTGAGCTTGGGTAGGAAAGAATTTGGACGTATAAGTTAGAACTAATCATGTTCTTGTATGCATTAAATTTTAGGTTGTGATGT